GCAGGTGTGGGGAGGTTGATACGTAGAGGGTCACTGATAGGATAGAGAACTGAAGAGAGCTTGTGTGCAGGGAGAGCCAAGATGGGGTTGAAAACACAGAAGCCTGAGTCCTACAAGATATAGGCAGGTGTGGGGAGGTTGATACGTAGAGGGTCACTGATAGGATAGAGAACTGAAGAGAGCTGTGCAGGGAGAGCCAAGATGGGGTTGAAAACACAGAAGCCTGAGTCCTACAAGATATAAAAGGCCAGAGCCCCAGAGAACAGGGGAAAATGGGGACACATTATCCTATTAATTGTGTGGTGTTGTCTTGAGAAAAGTAACCTGAAAGAGAAGAGCAAAGACACAGAAGGACAGAAGGGAGCAGTCACTCCAGGACTATACTGTATCCTTACATTCCAAGGAAGAACGATCAACACTCCTACCTCACCTTGCAGCCTGTGCCCTGCCCTATGAGTCTCCTTTAATTGTCCCCCTTTCCCAGGCCAGGAGGCCAAGACAGAGCTTCCCTCTGCCCTGATCAGCTGCCCAGAGGGTACCATAACCTATGGCTCCCTCTGCTACTACTTTGACAAAGACCATGAGGTCTGGATCAACGCAGATGTGAGTGAAAACAGCAGTGTAGGGAAGGGAGGCCCATGAAATCAGAGGCAGCTGCCACTTTCCTGCATCCTTAGTGGCCTCCGTGAGACAAATCTCATCTCCTGTATGTTCCATCACTGCACCAAAACTTTCCCTCTACTTTGTCCCATCTTTCTACATGTTCCCAGCACAGGGTTGCTGGTGCTCAGTGACAGCATCATCAGGCATGTTGTCTGTGTTGTCCTCTTTCTGCCACATTCCCTGGGATCCCCTAGCATATCCCTCACAACTTTCTCTTCCACTGAGTGCTTCATTTTCCTCCCCCTGCAGCTCTTCTGCCAGAACATGCATTTGGGCTACCTGGTGTCGGTGCTCACCCAGGCTGAGGGCCACTTTGTGGCCTCCCTGATTAAGGAGAATGGCAGTAGGGACTTCAATGTCTGGATTGGCCTCCATGACCCCAAAATTCAATCTGCAGCCTCTTTCATCTCCTAAGAATCCAGTTTCAGAGGGAAAGGGAGGTCATAGATCTAACTCGTCAAACATCAGCTTCTATCATTTTCCTGTAAAGGCAACCTGCATATGGATTCTATAACATATGGGGTATTGAAGTTTATGTAGGAAGTTACAGAGAAAAGACGTAGCCTGAATTTCATAAATTTCCTTAGCATTATGAATAAACTCATTTTGTCAACTTCTAGCAATACCTGTGTTGTAGGAGAATCCTTTGCAGACTATATAGAAAAATTGACTAGTGAAACAGAATCTGTTGCAGGCATTTGGGAAGCTGTTGTTATAGTAAATATAATTTAAAAAATAATGAACAGTCAATGGTATGCTGAATTGTGAAGGTTGTGGGCATTTATGGTGCTCTGTGTCAAATTCAGAACACTTATTGTTTGTTGGAATAAGCAAAGGGTGTGGGACATCCCAGGAGAAAAGGACTTGGACTTACGACAAATCTACCCTTATCAGGATTGTGTGAAACTGACTCAATGGTAAACATAGATATCAGTGATATAGAAACCAAGTTTCACGGATAATCTCTTTTACTTATACTTAGTTTTTTTGATAATTATGTGATAGAAATTCAATGGTGAAGTATATTCTTCAGCAAATCATGCTGGAAAACTGGATAGCTCTATACTACAGAATGCATTTGGTACTATTTCTTACATTGTATTATAGAAATTATTTCAAAATAGAATGTTCACTTAAATGTAAAAACTAAAACTTAGAAGAAAACACATAAGTGACACTCTGCTACCTTGATTGGGAAAATGGTTTCTTAATTATGACATCAAAAAAAGTGATATAAGAAAATATAGAGAGACATATATACATTGCTAAACACCAAAATTTTACATTTTTGTGTTTAAAAGGGCACAAGAAAGTAAAAAGACAACTTACAGAATGACAAAATATATGGGGTGAGGGGGGCAGGTTCAAGATGGCTGACTATAGATGTCAGCTCTTGCCTCTGACACAAAGACAGTTCAAAGCAGTAAATGGATAGTCACAATAGTCACACATTGAACATTGCATTGGGAAGAAAACACTGGAATCCAACAAAAGGATGAAGAAGATCCTCTAAGGCTGAAAAACTTGAAATGGCCCCATAGAAAGACAAGTGCAGCACCCAACAGAGATCAGCTCATAAGAAAGGCTCGTTGCTGCAGGGAAAAGGTAAGCAAGAGGAATCCTCCGAAGTCTGTGGTGCCACCACAGCCTGCAATCCAAGGTACAAGGGAGCTGCACGGCCCTTGCAGGATGTGATCTCAGTGTTAGGAGTTGCTTGGAGCCCATGCAACTGCATTATTCCAGAGAAGGAGTTCATGCTGATCCCTCTCATCCCGAGACCAGGGCAGCTGTAGCACATCAATATTTTGGTATCAGAGACAACACCAGAGTGCATTTTGCCTTAGGGTACAATAGCCTGTGGAGCCCATGCAACTGCATTATTCCAGAGAAGGAGTTCATGCTGATCCCTCTCATCCCGAGTCCAGGGCAGCTGTAGCACATCAATATTTTGGTATCAGAGACAACACCAGAGTGCATTTTGCCTTAGGGTACAATAGCCTGGGCATCTCCATACTCTAAGGCCCTCTCATCACCATGAGACTACAGTACACAAGCTCATGTGGTGCCCTGCACCCCTAGGGACAAGCAGTCCAGTGCATTGCAGAGGCCAACCCCAAGGCAGAGGAAGCTATTTCTCACAATTTCCCGATCTAGAGAGACAATCGACTGGAACCTCCTGCCATCACCAGAAGCCCTGCTGTCTTTTGGTGGAGCACCTGTACACATCTTCTTTCAGGAGAGTCCTGCTGCAGCTCCAATGAACCCACCCAGATTCACCCACTCCAGGTGGGAAGCTGTGGTGCTCCTGTGTGTTTCTCCCAAGGGCACAGAGTCTTGCTTCTAGCTCCAGTGAGCCCACCAGGACCACCCGCCCCAGCTAGAGAGAAGTCCAACTTCTCTCTTGGGGGTGTAGGCACCCACCCGTGACCCCAGAAATCTTGCCTGGGGTAGCATGCTCTAGCTGAGAAGCTGAGGAGTGACCCAGTGTTTCTCTTGGGGATTCAGGGTGACACCCACAACCCCAGTGCCTTCACCTAGAGTGGCACACTTCAGTGAAGCTGCAGAGTACCCTAATGTTTCTTTGGGGGGGCTAATGGTCCCGCACATGACCCAGTGACCATATCCAGAGTGGACCACTCCATCTAAGGAGCTTCAGAGCAATTCTGTGTCTCTCCTAAGGGTGTAGGCTCTCACTAATAACTTTGGTGTCCCCACGAGGAGTAGCACACTCCAACTGAGAAGTTGCACAGCATCCCAGCATATCTCTTAAGGGTACAGGCTCCCATTTATGGTTCCAATGTCCTCTCATATAGTGGCCCACTCCAGCTGAGCAGCTGCAGAACACCCCAGCAGCACTCTTGGGACTTTAAAATCTCAACAGTAGCCCCAGCAACCCCAGCCAGCATCACCAACTCCAGCTGAGAAATTACAGAACACCTCCATGCCTCTCCTGTGATTGCAGGGTTCCACTTAAAGCCCCCATGATCTCCAACCATGGTTTCCCATTTTAGCTGAAGACCTGCTGAATGCTTCAACATCTTTCTTGAAATCCAAGGTATTGTCCACAGTCCCAACAATCCCTCCCAGGATCAACCATTTAGCCTGTGGAGCTTCAGAGTGAAAGAAAGTGAGCTGAAATGCAGAATACTCATCAAGCTTTATTAAAGGAAAAGAATCTGCTGGGCTGCACTCAAAATGGAAGACAGCACCAGGCTTGGGGGTGAGAGAGCTTATATATGGCACCAAGGGCTGGCTGATACAATCAAGAAGGGGCATTATGCTAATGCAGAAACTATGTGACCAGGGTGGAGAATTGCACCCTTGGGGAAGCAAAGGGGTTTCTGTTTCTCAGAAATCATGTGGTTTCTCAAAAAGGGAAGGGGGGAGGGGTTGGGGCCATTTTCTGCTCAGCCTTGCCTAAAATGGCACCAGTTATGATCAGAATCTATCAATCCCACCTTTTAAGTATACGGAGAAGGGAAAAGGGGCGAAGTTCTCGTTCTTCTGAAGCTACTTCCTGCTGGAGATGGGTGAAGATATGAAAAAAATAAAATATTTATGTTGGCAGGTAAAACAATTAGGTGGCAGGGTATTGTTTTCCTGTGGGGAGGCTGTATTCTTCTGGGGAAGGGTCGCTGATTCTGAGGGGCTGATATCCTCCTCGCAGGAGCAATTTGGTGAACTTTTGATTGGTGAAAGCCTGCATTCATTCCTGCAAGAAATTAGAGAAACAGCAAAAGAGACAGGGAACAAAAAGTAGGCTGAGTTCCAGCACAGTTAGGGGTCCTAGTAGGGGCATAAGCCAGGCTATCCAAGGGTTCAGTGACTGGGGCCAACCCCAAGGTGTGTTTGCGTTTCGTAACACTTTGCGTTGGCAATCAATGCTTGCATTTAAATGGTTTAAGTTGTTTTGGATCACCCCAGACTCATTTATGTAATAACAGCATTCCTCCCCCAAGAAGAGGCAGGTGCCTTCCTTCTCAGATGTAAGGAGGTCAAAGGCCCAACAGTTCTGTAAAGCAACTGTTGCGTATTAGGTGACCTGTCACTGGAGGGAGGAGATGGTATCTATACTTAGGTCTTCTGAGAGTTTTTGATAGAATTGAGAGGCAGTAGCAAGGTCCGCTATGTCAGCCCCAGTTGCAGGAAGGATCCCTGACCCAATTAAAAAAGGTACAATTGGTGCCCTACAGGAGTGGGGGGTACTTTCTGAGGGGGGGCTGAAGTTAGTCCCAGTCCCGTCTCCATCCCTCCATCTGTCTGGACAGTGATGTGGTGTGGGGGACAAGCCAAACAAATATGTAAGAAATCACGTTGGGGGCAGACAACAGGATAACGCAGTTTTACAAAGGAAATATATTCCAGTTTTAGGGCATGGATGAGAAGGGGGTAAATAAGTAGTAGCATTTGGTGGTGTTAGTGAGGCAGAGTGTGGGCCTGCCCTGCATAACGCTAACAGTCCCCACTGAGGTGAGATTAGAGGAAAGTGAAGAGACATTTGTGGAAACATTGCAGGCCATATCGACGGGGAGAGGGGTGACCACAAAAAATTTCTCACAAAGTGGGAGACGGATGAGTCACTTGGGGACCAATCTGATTCATTGAAGACTGCATCATCCCTGCAGACCCGGACCCTCCATGTTCCAGGTAAGGGAGAGCATTAAAATAGGAGTAAAACCATGGGAAAGGTGCAAAGGGTTAGAGAGCCAAAAGAATTTGAAGGGTACATTGCCACAATGAAATTGCTAAGAAGCATCCTACTGATAGGAGGTAAAGGAGTGCAGGAGAAATCTTCCTATAATGTTACAATCCTTTGGGGCAGCACTGGCCAATCCTGTAGCAAGTACTAGAACAGAGAGTATAATAAAGGTTAGGGACATGGGGTGGCATATACTTACCATGTCCCAAGATGGCAAACCCATGATGGCAGGTAGGGACCAGTCTTAAATTAGCTCTTGTGCAAAGGATGTGTGAACATTTTAATAATATTAATTCTTCCAATTCATGAACTTAGAATATGTTTCCTTATATTTGTCTTTTTCAATTTCTTTCATCAATGTCTTTTGCCTAGGTGGTGATAGATGTTTTAATTAGACTGTGGTAATTATTATACAATGTATATGTATATCAAATCATCATGTTGTACACCTTGAATGTATACATACTGTATTTGTCAATTGAATATTTTTTTTAAAAAGAGCAGCTAGCACAAGAACAATTGATATGGACTTTTCTATCCCATTTATTACTTTCACCAAGGCAGAAAATCAAGTCCTGTGGCATTATTCAATGACAAGTTTATTTAAACTGATGAAAAGATGTTTCCACCAAAAATGCTAAGTGGTCTTTAAGTCAAGACAGTATGTCTTGGAAAGGGTAAAATAAATTTAACATGAATTTTTATAAAATAGACA